TGCTTTACACAATTTATGTATGTATGGGTTATGATAAGAGTTGTATGAGCCTCTAATAAAACTATTAAAAAATAAATTAAATTAAAAAATAAATAAAATAAAAGCTAGCAATATTAGCCCAGAGCCCTCAAAAGCTCAGCAATAGGAAATAAAATGTAGGAAGACAAATCCATCCACATAGACATTACCTTATAAAACATCCTGTCACCAAAACGCAACAACTCAGCAAAGGCATTGTGCCAGCAATGCAAAAAGGCAAAGAAAACCAGGAACATCATCAGCACTCCTGGAAGATAAGGTTAACACTATTCAGACTCTTATGTCACACGTGCTTACTCAAAGCTACTTTATAAACGTATTGGTTATTTCTCCCTACCCAACTAAAAGTTAGTGAACATGATTGCTTTAGTTTTACAAAGCACTATTTTCCAAGTGGATTTGACAGACAACAGATAACCTTTTTAGTAGAGAGTCTTAGATGTATATTTGGTACACAAAACCCTTTAAAAAGCTATACTTACATATCTCTCTAGCCAGTTGTTTTCAACTGGGGAGATTTTGCTTCCAAGGTTATTTGGCAAAAATAAGCAGAATGCATGAAGCCAAGACATGGAGGTATAGCCAAAAAGTCTGAAGGAGAATTAGAAATAGCAGGCAGAAGAGATTTAAAAGAAGCAAGTCATAATACATGGAAGTCAAATAGGAAAAAGGCTAAAATTTCTCCTCGGTAGACTGAGATTCAAGAGTATAAAGCTTAGCTGAATGAGAAGAGAAAGCATAAATATAGCCTGTCTATACTCCAGAGAAAGCAAAATGTGAAAAACTATATGACAGATGAAAGAATTGGCCCCAAACTAAAAGGATTACACTTGATTTTTCAAATAAACAGAAAAGTGCTCAAGAAGGGTACTGGATGTATAGATAAGATGAGGCTACGAAGAGGAAGAAAATCACATGCCTGGCATTCTCAATAGCTTTGATTTCCCGTGAGACTGTATGACTGAACAATTAACAATATCCATGTTACCTGGCAAAATAGAGTTAAAGACACACAGCACCAGGACCCGAGCGCTGAAGGGTTCCTGCTTCATGTTCCGGAACAAGGGGAGGCTGAGTCTTTCAAACACGTAGTACACATAAAAAAAGCAACCAAAAGTCTAGAACACAACAAAAATATAATGGCTTCATAAGGAAAGACTGAGTTAAAGACATACGTCACCCTTAAAGCAATGTTTATACCGATAGCCCATATAATAACCATACATTATAATAATTTAAACATTATCAAGGGTTCATGAGGGAGGGGGGAGCGGGGAGGGAGGGGAAAAAATGAGGAGCTGATACCAAGGGCTCAAGTGGAAAGCAAATGATTTGAGAATGAGGGCAACAAATGTACAAATGTGCTTGACACGATGGATGTATGGATTGTGATAAGAGTTGTACGAGCCACCAATAAAATGATTTTAAAAAGATGATCAAGATCCCAAGATGGTACAAACAATTGAGGCTCAATGAACTACTGTGCCAACAGTTCAAACCCACCAAGCAATGTGGACAAAGGCCGGTGACATGCTCCTGTGTGAATTACAGCCAGGAAAGCCTGGCAGAGCAGTTCAACACTTAGGGTTGTCAAATAAGCAAAATAACTTATTTAACAAATTATATTTGGTTTAGACGAGAACATACAAGGGGGACTTAGGGGAAATTTTACTGTATGGATGTGATTGGAGAGCCCAAACTATATCTACTTCACAACTTTACACATACACACACAAATTAGGGGGTGGGTGTTCTGATGAAGAAACAAATAGACTCCTTAGAATAATAGCTATTCCTTAACTGAAGAAAATCACCTTTGATGCTAACAAAAACGAACACTATTTGAAGTACTGGGAATAGTTAAAGATTCATCATCTCAACAAAAAAAGTTCTAGAGCTCCCACATTGGTAACGACAAGTTTACCAATATTTACAATGAATTGCTATTAAAAATAGGAATTTCTATCTTCCACCAATCAACACATGCCAAGGATTAGGCAGTTAAAAATAATGTACCTGTGCAAACTGGGTAGCAACATAACCCCATCTTATAGTGGGGGTCCTAAGGAGAAAGAAACAAAATAAAAACTTTAAATAAATAATTAAACTCCAATAAATATTTCACAATTAATACTCTCTACCACACAGAACACTGCTTATGGTCATATGAGGTACCTGTATAATTCTGTCAGGCAATACCACTTCACTTTCTAAAAAACCCATATATGTATGTTCATTAAAAAAGTACTAGTAAGAATTAAATGAGAACTCAGCCTGGGGTGGGGGGGCAGGGCATTGGCCCCAGCATTTAGAACAAGGGTCAAATCTCTAACCCTAAGCATTCCACTACTATGCATCTATCCAAGAGCAATAAAAGCAGTGACACAAATGTTCCCATGTTACTGCAGTATTTTTCACAATGGTGAAAAAAAGATGGAAACAACGTAATTGTCCAGCAGTGGATGAATGGACAAGCAAAATGTGGCACACATACAATGAAATAACACACCATGATAAAGAGCAGTAAGTCCACAGGTCATCTTACGACACGGAGAAGTTTGGAGAACATTATGCCAAGTGAAATGTCAATCACAAAAGACAAATATTATGTTACCACTTTCAAAAAGTCAAGAACTGATTTATACAAAGAAGATAGCTTTTTTTCATGGCTACCAGGAATGGGAGGGGAAAAGGAAGATTTTCCTTTTACTTTCCAATAGTAACCCATTGACTATCAAGTCAATTCTGACCCATAGTAAACACTACAGGACAGAGTAAAATTGCCCCTGTGGCAATGTGTGTTCTTTGGACCTAGAATCCCTGTGCTAAGAATGTCCCTGAAGAGGAGACAGAGCCGTAATACCCAGTGAACTGATAGGAAATAGCAGTGCCAAAACATCATCAGAAGAACCAGGAGACTGGTGTGGTGCGCTTCAGGCCACAAAACAAGCAGGCAGAGCCGAAGTGCCTCTGAGCACTCATCAGCAGAGTTAACACAGCTTTGCCAAACTTGCCTAACCAGGCAGAAGTCAAGGGGCTGTGGGTGCAAGGGTTAGAGAAGGGCTTCCTGCAGTCACTGCTGAGAAGACACAATCCCAAGTGAAGAACTGTATCCTGAGCAGTTTCTGATCCTGAATTATAACTTGGCCCCACAATCATGAGCACAGTCTGTGAGCTCTGTTTTGTGTGACCACTGCAATGAACTGTGGAGCCAAACCTTAGACGTGAAGCATGCAATGGGAGAGTTACATCAGAATTGGTAAAAGGTTGGAGGGTAGAGGTATGCTTCTGCCTCCCAGGAATCAGTCTGGGAATGTTGATCTTGATCCTCTTCCCCTCTTTAAAGTTAGAGGAGGTCAAACACCACCTCCACACTAATCTTACATACTGGGATGAAATGCAGAACAAAGCTCAATTTCCAAAAGTGAAAAGACATGCTGGGTTTAAAAAAAAAGACTAGACAGAGACTTATGGAACTCCTAAGGCTATCACCCTTTTAACCTGAAACTGAAGCCAAACGATAGATTGGTCTATGAAATAAACGCTAACACACATGCATGCGCGCGTGCGCGCACGGAAGATGCTCCTTAGAATACTCAGAAACAAAACGTGCTAACATCTGCCCCAAAACAAAGATAAAGCAAAGAGGGTCAAAAGATGGAAATGACTGTAATGCTGACTGTGTCTCATAACAATCTGAGTGTAAGTTGTCAATGCGAAAGTAATTTACTGTGTAAACTTTCAACTAAAATACATTAAAATGTTAAAGAAGACAACAACAACAACAACAACAAAAAATAGCTTAAGTGTATCAAATCAGACTGATAGACACACTATCTAGGAGGGATTCCCATTCAAGAGAAAACTAAAATCCATTCTATATTTTACACAGAGCCCAACAGGAAGGGCCCCTGCCTGCCTAACCAATCACACCCATGGTCCATTTCTGATGCTATTTCACAGTCATTACCTGGGATAGCTGTCCCGGTAGATGAGGGTAGGAGCAAACAAGAAGTACAAGTACTGGCCAAATGTGGGTATTGGTACAGTGCCTGGAAAAAGAAAGCTATGCTTAGACCAAAGGGCTCTTTGCTATCTCCTAGCAAATCTAAATGGGAAAATAAGGGAACATACAATAGACAAAAGTTAGATTCCCTCTCCCTCTACTGCTCCTGAAGTCCGACAATGAATTCCTGTTACTCTTATACTAATCCACCAATCCCTCTAAATTACGTTATTTCTATGACTTCAATAACTAAGGGTTGAAGCAATACTTAATAAAGAAAATCACTCATAGGTGTAATAAGCATATTAACATTCCTTAAAAATAATGCCAGGTTATCAGAATCCAATGATTCATTTTTGACACAGTATTACAATGGTAAAACTAGAATAATGAGGAAGCAATGACATAGTCATCCAATAAAATATTAATCCTATATACTTAAAATCAAACATTATTCTCTACAGAATATGTCACCCCCAGAAGAACACTGTAAATATCCTTTGACTGGATGGAATTACATACTTGATTTCTCCTTAGTGGAATCCAGTACACGAGGCACATTTTCTCTGATAAATGAATGAGCTTTCATTATAAGACGAACCTACAGGTTAAAAACATAAAGCAAATAAGAAGGTGATTTTTCTATCATTGGTTTGCCTCCTCTAACAACTTAGAACAGATTTAGAGAATGCTTA